AAAACTTCCAGAATTTTTCGTGACCCAGCTCGAAAAATGCCAATTTTGACTGATTTCCTTCAATTGATTGCAACTCTCAAAGTTTCTCAAAGTAATTCACGGCGAAGGCACAGCTGTAAAGTGCATGGACTCCTTTCGAACAGATATAACTTCAACGAAATCCATCGAGTGTCAAGGAAGTTATGATTTTTTGAAAATGATGCGCAAGAACTTTCGGACCAACCTAATACATATATAAATTAAGCAGCCCTTATCTCCATTGGAAAGACGCCTTTGACTACATTTTAGCTTTCCATAATTTACAGAATAAGTACTATCGAACGGTCCTTGATGGAGTCAACTAGGGGTAATGCTGCTTTACACCTTTGCGAATAGACGTCCACAGAAAGATTTGAGAATACTGAATACGAAATATTGAGGACATGCTGTATATCGAAATATTGCCTTGATGAACTGAGCACAAAGCTTTCTTCGAATTCAGAATATATTTATTCCGGAGAAAGTTACGGTGAATAGAATTTGAAAACGCGTGATTTTTCCAAAATTCACCAACGGTTATGTCTCTTCTGGAAGGAAATCTGCGGCTATGTGCGGCGATGTGCGGCGCACTCCGCTGCTCTCCGGCTGACTGCAGTGCAGTGCGGCGCACTCCGCTGCACTCTAACGGACTGCAGCGCACCGGCGGAGTGCGCCACAGATTTTTTGACGAATTATGAGCGGTGTTGTATTTTGAAATTGAGTTATGCTCATTCAAACTAGGAATTTCCTGAAGAATCTTTTTTTCACAATTTCCACACGAAATCGATCTTGTGAAGGCTAAAATTGAACAAAAGTATGCACTCACTGTATTGTCAAAATTTGGCGATATTCCCTGTAGAATCTGCGATAATCCCTGTAGCTTGTAGGACTACTTCAGAAGAAAATTATTGTGACTTACAACTGAACTCTAGAGAACGTTCATTGATTATAAAACACAAGCCTCACTTCTAAAGTGTTTATACATAGTTCACTGTAGCTAGCTTCCCTTCCCGGAAACATTCCCTTGGTGCGCGTACATCCATGTAAACTCCATCTTGGACTTGACCTTATCATGATGTTCTTATTGATCTTATATCAGGATAAATAATGTCAAAAGAGTATAAAAAAGGGCATTATTAAACAATGAAGCATATAAAAAGAATGAGAAAAACAGTTCATACATCTGTAACATACCAGTCTCCTTCTTGCACTATAGTTGATTTTTATTGAAACACAACATTCATTGCTGCAAAAAAAATAAATGTTATTTTTATGCCTCAAGTGAAAGCCTTGCATGCAGTTCTATCATTATCAAAAACCTAACTGAAGATCAATGCTCGGCACAAGGTGGCTTTCTGGATATGCAAAACACCAAGTCCTCTCTGGCTTTCGTAAAATTTTACGAAGCCACCCAAAATCAGAAACACTGACCAAAAAACCTAATCTAACTTCTGTTTTTTCAGACCGCGAAGACAATATAGGGTGCCCGTAAAGTATGTATACACTGTTTGATCGTTGATATCTCCCTTCCCAAAAAGTCTTTCGCCTTGCTTTAGGTACCATTTTGTAGAGCTGGCTTCACTTTAGATTTTCAGCACAGAACGAATCACCCCTCTCTCTTCGTTACTGTAGGATTACGGTAGAAATTTGAAGCATATGGTGTCAACGTGGAAAAAGGTGCTGTCTCAAAATTTTTCAAGAAAATGTGAAAACTTGTGTAATAGGGTTTTTATGGACGCTGAGTTCAATACTCAACTATTCACAAGGTTGCGAAGCTTTCTAAGCGGGTAACCGCACTTTTTAGGAACATCGAAAAAAATGGCCGCTACCTCTTACCCGGCATAACTCTTCAATGAAAATTCATAATAAGTTGGAAACTTTACAGTTAGAATCAGCAACTCTAATTAGCCTAGTGTAAAAGTTTTCAGGCTGTTTTATTTCTTTTCTGAGGCAAAATATGGCCTTTCATAGCCCAAAACCTTCTTTGAAGTTTCTACCGTAATCCTACAGTAACGAAGAGAGATGGGTTATTCGTTCTATACTTTAAATCTAAGTTGAAGCCAGTTCTACAAAACGGTACCCAAAGCAAGGCAAAAGACTTCTTGGGAAGAAAGATATTAACGATCAAACAGTGCATACATACTTTACGGACACCCTGTATATCCTTTGCTTTTTGTCCCAAAAAACGAATCCACCTTGCCTCATAAGCCGTGACGCATATTGATCACCTGTCACTGATCACCTGTCACCTAAGAGAACCACTAGGTGTGCAAAATTCGGCGCCACTTATTTTGGCGCACCCTGTATATTGAGCAATCTTGCGCGGTCAACAGATAGTTTTGCATGGGAACGAAAGTGACAAACTAGCCAAGTTTACGCAGCTGCACACATACAGAGTGTCCCAAAGAGATGTGCACACTGTTTGAACGTTAGTTACTCTCTTGCTTTCATGTCTTTTTCTAAGCTTGAGGTACCATTCTGTAGAGCGAGGTTCAACTTAAATTTGCAGTAAAAGCGAATCACCAATCACTCTTCATCACTGTAGGATTACGGTATGAACTCTCAGCTAGCAGCATCACTGTGGAATAGCCGTTTTGATGACATAACTTCAAAAAAATTTAAAGATTTGTGTAGCAAAGTTTTCCGGCGTGGGATTTCATTACGTAACTTTTCACCAGCTTTTCGAGCTTTTTTGATGGCGTATTCACATTTCTGACGAACATTGGAGAAACAGTTGTTACCCTAAATTTAAAATAACTTACGAAAGAAGCATTACACTGAAGTGCAACCATATTTAGATATAGCGAGTTCGGTTAGCCCAGTTCAAGAGTTTCTGGCTTGCTTGGCTTTCTTCGAGGCAAAATACCGCTTTCAGTAACTTAACATGTTGACGACGAGCTGTTTTTCTTGACGTCTGTCCCTGTGGACGAACCGTTTCCGAGCATTTTACAGCTGGCTGCATGTATCTATGCATGTATTTATGCGCAAGATACAAAAATGCAATTGGGCGGGGCAGCTCCGCCCACTTTTCAAAAATGCCAGAAATTGCACAACATTCACGAATGTGTGCAAATCTCGGCACTTATGAAAAGTGGACGGGGCTTTCCACTGGGAGGCGGAGTCTGCATAACGGGAGGCGGTGTTCAAATTAAGGTTATTTTGAGGTTCCCCAGTCATCTACGAGCATTTCTATGCTATTTGAGAAAGAAAAGAGAAGAGTTTTTGTGGAGGGCAACAGAGTGGGTGGAGTTTGCCAAAAGGGGGAGGGGGCAACATGAAATGATTCCACGCCTAACGTGATTGTGTGAACACAAATCGGAACCATTGTGCACAGCAGAACTGATATTTTGGGTGTCGCGCACCATTGCGCGACATCGTCCACATGGACAGACTGCCTGTCGCGCATCATTGCGCGACAGTGTCATCAGTTTAAATCCTCCGCGAAGTTTCTACTAATCCTAAATTATTAATGAGCAATTAATAATTCTCTCTAAACTGTAAACCTAAGTTGAACCTCGCTCTACGGAAAAGTACCTCAAGCTCTGCAAAAGACATAAACGCAAAGGAGATATTAACGATCAAACAGTGTGCACATGTTTCCACCCCGTATGTAGACTGCATTAAGGCGGAAGCAGTGCATTATGTTATAGTTTTCCTTCAAATATATAACCTCTTACAATCACAAGAAAGTTTCGTAGATACACAGGATATTTATTGCAGGACAATCACAAAACACTGCCAAGTTTGCTCAATAAAATCAAATAGAATGAGTTTACTTTTAACATATTACGATCGGTTACGACCGCATAATAACCATAAAAAAACTGGTCGTCTTCATGTCTTTCATTTTAGAAAGTTCCATACCATTAACTCAGATAATCTCCGGGAACAGGCGGTCCGCAAACTCGCTCTTTTCTGCAAGCGGTCAGCAGAATTTTTGGAGCGCGCCAAACCTTCAACGGGCGGCACATCTTTAAGTCGCTTATCCTGCCAGAGGGCAGCAATTCACAGTTTTCTGCAAGCGCTCGGCAGATAGTTTTTTTCAGCGATCGGTGGTCAAACATTCAGCAAGCGCTCAGAGTCTTTTTACGCAGTTTCGGGCATACGCCGAGCAAAAATGAGGCTCTATGTGGCAGAGGTATCATCGATGGTTTAATTCCTCAAGTTGTGGGTACCTCCTTTTAACGGAAGGTACCTGGGCAGTGCGGTCCTTCACAAAGGACCGTGCGGCCCTCATTAATTTTGCATATTCTCGCGGATAGTTCGCGAGAATGCGGCCACTGCGCCGCAACTGATCTCTGAAACCGCAATTGTTCCCTGAGCATCGTCTAAATTTTCACCAAAATTCCTCCAATTATCTGCAAGCGAACCGCAAGCAATCAGCAAACTACTTCTTCAGTGCCTGCTTGCTCAAAATTCGCATGGCCGCCTTCCACCTGCGATTATCTGAGAAGCTGTTAAGAAGAAAGCTGTGGAGCACTTTTGAAAAATTCATTTTCTGACGCATTATTTGCTTTGACAACAAGTTTTCTATACTGTTCAGTAGAGGTAAGCATGAACTTCTCAAAATCGCTTCTGATTTTCTAGCGGGTTTTTTCGCGTCGACGTTTTCACCTTTTGTGCATGCTGGTGGGCCGCAATGAGGCGCAGAAAAGCCAACAATGCAAACATTTGTTGTAGATGAATTTGTTTTTACAATGAAGTTTGTATTTTCAAAAAGGGATCATTTGCTTGAAGTTACAGCGACTTGAAAAATTTTTCGCAAGTGCCCCAAAACTTTCTTTACGATCTAATATACAGGTATTCAATAATAAAAAGAAGCAATACGTTTTGGAATGTCGAATATACTTTCATCTTCTACATAGGTGAACGCGCAAAACACTGAAATTTTGTAGACGCGGCGTCTGTTAACTTTTGAAAATCCATTTGGCATCTTGAGCGGTAGACAAGCAAACTTATTTTTGCTCCAGAGCTCCTGGAAAATGGTCAATCTTCAAAGAGCGATATCACTACACAGAACTGAGTAGTTTTGTCTTTGATGTTCGTTTTTGTTGTTTTCGGGATTCAATGAGGTGTGCAGATCAAGTGGCTGATTTTATACGAAGACAGATGCCCAAGTGATAGTAAGTGCTCAACTCAGAGCACACGGGTCAGCCCAAGTATCAGTAACCCATACGCCTCAGCAATGTAAGTTTCAATCGTTGTGTTCAAGCTCGTTTCGAGCAATAAGTGATACGCTTTCATGCAAGACTAGACTGTATCTGCTTACATTGACACACACCTAACAAAACTCTGTTCAAGATTGAAGAAAAGTTCTAAATTTGTGGTGACCAATGCCACTGTTTTACTGTAATGCTGTTCTAAAATTTGCTTACTTCGCAAGTTTTGAGCGGATATGGCCAGGCTTTCCTGTTGTTCTCGTCGATTTTCTTGAACATTGCTTGTGCGGTCGATCTCAGGTTCCAAGGTTTGGAGCACCTACAAGTCAACATTTAGGGAAGCGTGATCTGAGCAAGAAATATGATTGGTGCAACTTACGGATTGTCATCAATTCTGAACACGCGATATCTGTGTGTTATCCGTTTTCCGTCTTGTTTATCTGTCCAACCGCTGGCAAATACATAGATGGTGTTCTCCAACCAACCTTTGTATTGCTTGAATAAGATTCTTTAGAAAAAAAACAAAAAAAACGACCATTGAAGAGTAGAATTTGTGCTCGCTGAGCTGAGCAGTTTTTATTGAGACGTCAAGTGCCGTAAACTAGTTGTATGAAAACCCTCGATAATTTTCAGCAGGCAGTACATTATAGTTCAATATTAGCAAATAGTCAAACTATAGTTGGACTTACCAATATCCGTGATCCAACGACTTTTGCGCATCGCGCTTCGTATTCCTTTGTGAAGGCTTTTATCCATTCACTACTTTTCAAGCGGCAAAACGTGGGTGCTGAATCCATGAAGGTGGAGCATACAAGCAGCAGCTGAAAAATCGTCAATCGTTACCGACCGAAGCTCAAAAAAAATGCAACTTACTATAAGAAGACAAGGAAGCATTTCTGGTGTTGTGCTCACATATTCTCCTGCATTTTAATGCTGAAAAATTTTCGTTGACAAACTTTTTAGGACTTTCAAAGAGGTACCACACTGCTCTATTTTGATCATGCGCGATTTAGTGCGTCATGTGGAGGAGTGTACTTTTGTATAGTAAGCCTGATCACAACATTGGATATACTCTTTGATTCAACAAAAAAACGATAACGAAATTTGCATATCGAAAATCCCTGATAATCCGTAAGTTACATATGCTTTTACAAAATGTAATCAGGTTCCGAATAACCTAAGCATAGTGGCAATGGTCGTATATATTTTTCGAACAAATCTCATGAAGCTTCTTAATTTCTGGTCTAGCGCGCGTAAACTACTTTTTGAATATTTTCACAATCCACTCCGAGGTTAGATTATTCTGGAAGTTTCCATTATCACGTATAAAGCAAGTCATATGCAGAATTACGATTTAAATAAATGATTTTACAAATTACGCGACTTTAGTCTCCTGCAGTATTCCTTGCCGTAAGCCGCACTCAACCGATTCAATGAGATGAAGTGACAATAGCTTTATTGTTTAGCAGTCAAACAATACTGATTATTCTATGCATACGCCAGAAAAAGCAACGAAATAAGAAAAATAAGAAAAGCACGCTACTTTTCTGGTCGTAACTGCTACCTTCGTTTTGCAAACATATCGCTACCAAAAGATTTGTTTGTTGGATAAACATGGATGGAAGACCGCTGCAGCAGCTAACGCATATTTTGCAGGACCTATCTATCATTTCGCAGACAACCGATCATAGTTCACTTTGAGACTTTTTCAAGGATTTAACACTCACCCTTGGTAGCAAAATTTATGTAAACTTCGCTGTTCACATATCTACCGTATCCGCTGCGCTACCTCTAACTTTAAGAGCTATTAGAGACATCAATGCATTAACTTCTACAAATTTTTATTTCTATCGTATCAGATATGTTGGCATCGGCATCATTCCAGGAGACAATTTATCTTGCAAGAGGGCAACTCCACCGTGAACATTCGTGTTCGATCTCTAAATTTCGGAGTCTGCTCTACACTGTACACTTTGACGGCACTAGCAAACATGTTGCTTTTAAACGGTTTTGTATACCCTTGAATCTAATTGTAAGGAAGTATATTGCTTCTTGGGCAAATGAGCTTTAACCTTAGCCTTAAGCTATTAATCAAATACAAGTACTTGTTGCGTATCATTCCAGGCTTCTCTAACCGCTCAATTTGTTGCACATTCCTCGCCAATACGGTATCGATGTGTTTGGAGTTACCTACCACTTCCTAACAATGACTGTAGCGCAAATTATCATTTTTCCGGCGCAGTAATTCTAATTCAAAAAACCTGCTTTATCATTTGTTGCATGCAAACTACTATGAGCATTAAGTTCGGATTAGTCTATAAATACTGAGATTTTGTCGTCAACTTCAAATCCTCCCATAATCCAAGATCGGCCTTCGAAAGAGGGAAGTTGATGTTAGTCACATTTTCGGTCTTCCTCGGGTTCTCTGTCACTTATTAGCTAACTAGTTTGCTTACTCGGCTCCGCTCGGCCCGTCAAAACACTTATAAAGGATCCATCCCTACAACTGGGCAGCCTTTCCCTGTGCCCACTTCTACACTTCATTTTCCGTTCCCTGGGTTGTTTTCGAAATCAGCACGCCCACTTACCACCTGTGCCAACTCCCAGCCTTTTAGCCCGAACTTTGCAAAAAAATCGATAGAATCGATAAAAGTAATCGATAGTTCTGAAAACTAATATTGTACTCGGAAACGCCATGCTCATTTACACCCCCCCCCCCTGTGCCAACTGCCAGCCCCGTAAATGAAGTCTGCAAAAAATCGATAAAAATAGATAAAATCGATATCGATCGATAACAGAATGTAGCCTATGACGCGCCTCCTGCCCCGAAGTAATGTGTGCCAAGTTTGGTCCAAATCGGTTCAGAAATGAAAATTTCTATTCTACACATACGTACAGACGGACGGGCAGACAGACAGACATACAAACAGACATTCGACTTTATACATAAGAAAAAAAGATATAGATGTTCTCAGCTTGCAATGGAAGAGTACTCAATTAGTTTTGACTTCTGAGATAAGAAACATATTTGGAACTTTTAAATATGCTGCTTCTAGCTGCTGAGCTTTAATTTGAAGCTATTTATAGTCTTTTCTTGCGCGAAATTTGCGTGCACATCGATTTACTGATGCTACGGTTCGACTCTAAGTTTTCTTCAAGTGCACAATGCTCCCATCCAACATCGAAAGACTCTGATGCTATTTCAACATCTTAGCACTTTTTCGAGCAAATTTTCATTTACAAGCCACCTTACCCTATTTAGAACTATGTCAATTATTCACATAAGCAGGCTCATTGCTCGCGACAGGTTGACACTGACAGCCAGGAACAATATACAGAGTGTCCCAAAAAAATGTGCCTACTGTTTGATTGTAAATAACTCTCTTGTAACAAAGTGTTTCGAGAAAGTTTAGGTACCGTTTTGTAGAGCGAGGTTAAACTTAGATTTACAGTATGGAGCGAATCATCTATCGCTCTTCAGTACTGTAGGATTACGGTAAGAACTTCCAGCATATGAAACCATTGTGAAATATACCACCTAACAAAATTTTTTGAAAAAAATCTAAAAATCGTGTACTAGGGTTTTCGCGCATGCTGATTTCACCTAACAACTTTTCACGGGTGTTTTCAACTTTTTTGACGGTGCAATCACATTTCTGACAAATGCTGGGAATTGAGTTATTACTATTTACCGGGGATAACTCAAGAAAGAAGCATTATAGTAAAATCGGAATTTCAGATTCGACATCAGCGGCTCCCATTACCGTAGTATAAGAGTTTTTGGCTTGTTTGGTTTAGTTCCGAGGCAGAATATAGCCTTCAACGGCCCAAAACCCTCTTTGAAGTTTCTACCGTAATCCTACAGTAACGGAGAAAGATGGACGATCCGCTCTTTACGGTAAATCTAAGTTGAACCTCGCTCTACAAAACGGTGCCTGAAGCTTTTCGAAACACTTCATTATAAGAGAGTTATTTACAATCAAACAGTAGGCACATTTTTTTGGGACACCCTGTATTTGTAGTTAGCGTTCCAATCTGATTCCAAACATATGTGCCTCATTTTACAAGGCAATAATTTGGTATCCTTTCGTTGTTAGATTCATGACGTAAAAATTTTACCGATGACTTTCTACTCAGTATTACTAGTCATCGGAGCATATATAGCACCATAAGAACTGTGCAAGAATGTATCGCTCAGAAAGTTATTACTTCTTATGGAGTGCTCTTGAATCTGACAAAGGAAGGATGCTTGATCGAAGTGATGTTTCCATACAAAATGTGTAAACCTTAGAGCATAGAACGCTGATTTCAAACTCGCTTTCGGTATCTAAAGAAAGCTTCTGGAAGGAGAGTTATGGAATATTTGATGAAAAAATTTGAAGGCACCGCTGCAATAAAATCATTCAGAACTATAGCCCATGACCTCAAATGGCATCACGATTATTACCAGGGCGTTTAACGCGAAAAATACTTTCAGTCTAATCTCATCCAGTCATTACTCCTTTCGGTCGGAAAGAACTCAACAACTGTTTTTACCATAGCAGACTGAATTTCTACATCCGCTTTCTACTTTCCACTTTCTCTTTCTACTTTCTACAGCCGAACAGGCTTGGGTAGGATCTTTATTCGAATGGCCTAACGTTTCGGCGCGTTCGCCGTCTTCAGAAACCTAAAAACGACACAGCATCATCCACGACATCAGATCACCAAATGTCTTTTCTGCCTTAGCTAGTTTCGACCATAGTTCAATCCGTAAAAGTTCTCAACAAGATAAACACACTGTCTACATCACCGCTATACAAAGTGAAAGGAAGTGACAGAGCGACCGGAAATATGTGACAGAAGCGGACAATTGAGGACAACTGTACTGTAGAGGGCAGATAGAGGATTTATCTACGAAAGGCAGATAAAGTCTATCTACTATCTATAGCTCACATAGTGCTACGAACGGCAGGAAGTAGCAGTGATGGGCAAACGCTCGTTCTTATTTCCCATTTCTGGACTCTGCGGAAATCCAGAGAGACTCTAATGCATTTCTAGCCGAGATTTCGTCCTCGTGCGTCAAGATCGTGCAGTTGATTTCGAAGTCTTTTCCGTCATGCGGGTCATTCCTACCCAGCGGTGTTATTGAGCTTTTTCGTCTCTTGCTTGCAAGGTGTTCTTTTAATCGCACGCTTAATAATCTGCCAGTTTCACCGATAAACAGTGCGCCGCAACCAAGGCATTCGATTTGACGAACGACCCCACATCCCCCACTTTTCCATATGGACATGTTGTGCATTGTTCGTATTGTCACCTCTGATTTGTTCAACAGATCCGAAGGGCAAAGTTTGAGCC